CAATCCGTACAAGTGGGCGAGTTACACAAGTGTCTTGAAAGTCTCAGAGAATATCAAAACAACAATACAACATGACAAGAAGTAACCAAGGTATCGAGATAACCCTTCAAATATACAAGAAGATAACAAGAGTACAAGTACAAGTTTATACACAAACCACGGGCATTAGCATAGAAACAGTCCAACAAAACTTCAAGAATTCAAACCATAGACCGACCATAGCATGGTACCTCAAGTCACAACTTAGATTTGAAAAGGAAAAATGTAAAACTGGACTTTATATCCTTCATGAAAGATGTAGGTACATCTCTTAAGGTTGCAAATAAACAAGAATCACCGCAAAATATATTTTGTACAAAAAGATATATTCAAAACACTAACAGTTGATCATACAGGATTTCAAATTCCAAAATCTAGATAGAACTTTCCCTATGTTGCGTCCCATATTCCGAATCCATAACAGCTAACTTAGAGTTTTACATAAACATAATAGTTGTAGGTATACGAATTAGCTTTCCAAATCATATTTATTCACTGTAAATGATGTTCTAGAGAACGAGATATGTATAAAATACCAAACACAACCCAGCTCAGAAACAAATTTTATCACTTGCCAAAAAGAAGTGTGTGTCTTGAATTCCAGCCAAAAGGACCAAGTTTTTATCTTGTGATTTTGAAGAACAACTGGTTAGATAATTTTCTAAGGTTCTTATACTTCATGTGAAACGAATTTCACTAGAGGAGGTGTCAAAATATAGTCTCAAAAGTGAAGTTTATCACATGTACAATTGTCACTAAATGGTGGCTGCCCAAATAAAAGTGTGCTGCCCAAAATGCATACATATATACCTATATGTATATCCCTCACCTCCATTTCAAGTTATACATAATTATAATTAGAATATTACGTAAATACCCCAATACAATCCCTTAAATTACGATCACAATGTATGTTAAGCAAGTTCGCAAATATCACAAAATTTCAAGTTTCCAAAATGAGAATAAAACATATTGTAGTAATTAAGCAACGGTAAATTGACATGTGACTCTTGGTTAGTATTTCGGGGTATTACATAACTAATCCCAACATAACTTATCCAACATCACTTGTTTTCAAACCAAATAACCCCTTAGTGGACATAGGATATATTTTTGCATCAATCGTGACTCTTAATCATGTGTTATCATTTACTATAGTTTTTTAAAAAAAACTTATGGTTTTCCAAATACTTCGGTTGGCGAATAATGAGATAAAATTAACGCATTTTTCATGTATGAGAAGTTATTGTAAATAACCCGTGATGAATCTATTTATCTGTACTTATTTTATTTGTTGTATTATAGAACACAATAACTACTTAAGTTTGAGCGATTTAAAGATGTGAAAATAGACAAGTGTGAGATGATGTCCATGTATTTAGAAATTAAACTAGTAATATGGTGCTATATCCGTCTGGAGTCTACCATAAGATTTATACCGGGAAAGTGAGAGGGATAGAAATAAATAGTGATGGCATAAAGTTTTTGTATCTTGTTTGGGATAACTTATCCCACCATTTATATCATAGTGATGAGATAAGTTATCCCATATACATGGTGGGATAAGTTATCCCAGGATACGTGTTCCCAACCAAACAACCCCTTAAAAGTACAAAATACCTATCTTTCAAAACACAATAATATGCACTATGAAATAAGTCTTATTTATTAAATCAAGCATAAATTTTCATTGCACACTTATCCTATTTATGTTTGCTTTCCCTTATCATCCTCATCCACCTTCTCCTCCTCTATCTCTTTTTCCTTCTCCAACTTCTGCTTCTTATTTTTTGGTTCTTGATCTTCTTCATGGTCATTGTCATCACAATCTTGATCGTCCGCATCCTCATCCTCGTCCTCGTCCTCATCCTCATCCTGATCATCATCGTCAACCTCATCCTTATCGTCATCATTATTTTTTTCATTCTTATTGTTGTTATGATTATTATTATCATCATTATCATCACGTTCATTGTTATTATTGTTATTCTCTACATCGTTATTAGAAGATCCGTCATCATCATTACTCGTTCCTCCATGTGTAATGGTATCATATCCATCACTGTCAGAACTCTCATCACTACTAGACATATATTCATAAAAGAAGAAATCTTCACTAACACCATGCTTTAATTCTTGAACCATCTCCATAGATCTTTTAAGCTCAGGAAAAAATAACCTACAACAATGTATTAAATATGAAAATATGTACTTGTATCAGATACTAAATTAAATAGAGAAAATAAAAATTCTATTTATACCTTGTCTCTTCTCCAATATGGTCTAAAAACAACGACAGATACACACTCTGAGAAAAAAAAAACATTTGTTTAGAGAAGCAAAACATCAACAGAAACAAACGAGAAATAAAAATGTCTCTAGTGTATATAGTTGTATGGAAAAAAAGACACAAATATATCTTTCAATTTTGAGATTCAGAGCAAAAACATCCTCGTTTAAAAAGTGATGCATATATGTCATCATGCAAATCCTCGTTAAAAAAAATTCAATTTGTATTTTATTCAGATTTAATCCAAACCCCTTTTATGACTAAGTAGAACATGTATTGGGTTCTTTTTCATTTGGATCAGATAATGATGTGTAAAACAATGGGTGACAAATTTTTTAAATTCATTTGTTATTTTGAAAATTAAAAACCAATTTTTTTAAATTTGCAAAATGTAGGTTTATTAACAAAAAGGAAATATATGTACCATTTATTCGACGACAGGGGTTTAAATGCACCATTTTTTTAATGAGGGATATCTACTCTAAATCGAAAAGTTCAAGGGTATATTTACCCTTTTTCTCTTGTATTAATGTTACACAGTAAAGTAGATTTATGTAATTGGGGCAGCGTCTATTTTACGCAACATTACCCTGCGTAACTGCAAAATGCTATTTTCAGGATTTGAACATGTCATCTCCTCAGATGGCAATAATTTTACCATCTATGTCGAGGCTCCTCTTCGTTTGATTAATGAAACAAAATAGATAAAATACAAACTCGAAACCAAAAAAAAGGGAGTGGAGAACATGAAAAAAAATCTACATATAAATATGAATTAACTAAGATGTTACCATGAATAGCAGAGATGCCGAAGAAATTATCGTTTGGAGCGCAACATTGGTGGTGGAGCTCCTTTGGGAATTCATTGTATATTTTTTAGGCTACGGAGCAATAGAGGTTTTCAGTTTTGAAGTGAATGTAGAGGGACCAATAGAGGTGGTATATATATATATATGAAGGCTCCAGTCAAAGATGAGCAATAAATTAATTTTATTTGCAAAAGGCAGTCCAAAAAAGTCATGTTATTAAATTCATTTGACTCATTTCCCATAATTTTGTTACTTATATTTCATGTACTACAAGATTCTATTTTATATCAGTCGCAATGTCTAATCAATTAAACATATGGCAAGCTCTTCAAATATAAAATTCTAAAGATGAAATTTCTGGAAGTGTAATAGCTCCAAGGATTGACCAATTTACAAAAATAATTTTTTTGAGGAAAGAATATATCATGATAATTCATTTTATATTCTTAAGTTAAATATTTTAATATTCATACTTTGAACTTTATTTTTCCTTATCATATGAATGTAGATAAGAAAGCTATTTATTGATATTAATTATACCTTGGAAATATATTATAAAATACATTTTGAAGGAATTTTATAATTAATACATTTTGTGTCACCAATTAAATTAAAAGGTAACAACAACATACTGTCACACCCCGAGCCTACACCCTGGGAGTAACTGGCACTAGAGAATCATTGTTGGCCCCAAGAGAACCCTTGGCCTGGCTCAACTCCCAGCGGAAGACTTACTCAACATTAGATGAACTCAAAAGTAAAGCTTTAACTCAAATGTCTCAAATACTTAAATCTTTTATATTTAGAAATAAACATTCAACTGGCCAAAGAGGCAACTCAAGTCTTAAACATTTAACAATGGAAATGAAAAGACTCCTCAACTACTATTGTCTATCTATGAAGCCTCTAATAACTATGATGGAAGTCGGGACAAGACCCACGACATCCTAACAAAACTGAAAGATATAAATGGAATCCTCTGGAAGTAAGGAGGCTCACCAAAGCTAACTCGAACTACAAGTGGTATCAATGAAGCGCCTGTTGATGACCCTAGTTACCTATATATGCATCATAAAATATGCAGGCCAAATGAAGTCAGTACATGGAATGTACAAGCATGCAAGGGAAACTCTAAAACACAGACATAAGCTTGAACTGATAAAAAGAAGAACATACTCACCTCATCTCAACTCAACTCAAGGATACTTAAACACAAAAATACTCAACTCAGTTCAATATAAAAAGCAACAATAAATATGCATTATAAAGAAAGCTTTTAAAACAATAGATAATAACTCAATGTATTTAAAATAAAATAATAACTCTTTTACTCTTATTTGAGAGATTCTCTAACCGACAACCATCACTATGAGCTATGTGATGATACAGCGTTTGTCCATGCTGCCAGAACTGTCTTATACCTTGTTGGAGTATAAGACAACCTCAACTAAGTGGATCCACTAAGCTATGCTTAAAAAGAAATAAGGAATAATCTAAAAAGTATGACCCTTTCTATCCACGTTGGCATACATGGTTTATGAGGACTTTGAGTTGTCTGAACTCATCTCCATATCGGTGCTCAATACTACTCCCAATAATATAACTCATGCTCATATGTTTAAAAACATTTCCACATCCTCAAAATTTGAGATTATTACTCAAAAAGTTCTCTTAAAAGAGATAGGGCTCAAAACTCCTCATGAACTCATTTGGAAATCGAAGTTTCCTCTCATTTTAAATGTAAAAACATTTACTCTTGGGATTAATTAGTTCCCATATATTCATTTTGAAAAATGTAACTCAACTTTCCTCATCCTCATACTCAAGTACTCAAGTCTTAAAACAAGTTTTAAAAGTTTGTAAAAAACTTCTCAAAACGACTCAAAGGACTCCCTCGAACTTTACTCTTAACTCTATCTTGAATTTGAATTATGAATTCAAGAGTTATGATTCATGATATGAAGGATCTCGTGATTATTAAATGTAGTTTAGATACCTAGTATTAAAAAAGGAATGAAAGTTTGACTCAAAGAAACAAGTATGAAATGAAAACGATGAAAAATATGTCTTCTCATAATCAATGTCAAGCCTTTGTGGAAAAACTTATGTCACAAGTCATGCTTTATATATTACAATGTAACACCTCGGAAACTAGTAGGCTAGACTAGAGCTAAATGTGAGGATTAGATCCATGGAAGTGGGCAAGGGCCAAGGGAGAGGACTAGGGCAGTCCACTCTCCCCTAGACACTGCCCAAGCTGCCCAAAAATAACACACCTTCACGAGCCGCTTCACGGCTTGTGGTAAAGACCACGACGCATGTGAAGGCTCGTGGAGGTGCCTTAGGGTGTTGGGATGAAGGGAACACTTCCCTAGCCACTGGTCCATGGACCACGAAGGGGACTACGACCCGTGGTAGGGGTCGTGAGCCTGCCTTAGAATCTAGGGGTTTTGGGTGAAGGCTACCTAGACACTGCCTCATGGTCCACGAAGAGGACCATGTCTCCTGGTGAAGACCATGACTCGTGACACCTCACGTGGTCTTTAGGCAGTAGGCTATCAAGTCAAGGTTAAATGGGTAATTCCGGTTTCAACTTAAATGAAGTGAGGTCATTTTGCCTAAGCTTAGTACACCTATATAAGTGATTTTAACCCTTTTAACTCACCATTCAAGTCACATTTTCCAAAACCCAAAAGATTTCCCCAAAATTCCTCCTCTCAAATATTTCTTTCTTGAAGAAGAAGAAGAAGAAGAAGAAGAAGAAGAAGAAGAAGAAGAAGAAGAAGAAGAAGAAGAAGAAGAAGAAGAAGAAGAAGAAGAAGAAGAAGAAGAAGAAGAAGAAGAAGAAGAAGAAGTTCAAGCTAGGATAAATGTGAAGGATCAATTCCTCCATTGAAGCTTAGCATTGGGCTTTGTTGTTAAGGTATGATAGCTTTCATCCATGAACATCTTTAATCCATGGAGTTCCTTCAAAATCTCAATTTCAAAGAGATAGAAATCCCCAATTGTTAGGGTTTGATTCAAAAGTCATGGGTTCCTTTCAAACTTGATTCTAATGGTTGAATTATGTTATATTAAGCATGAATTTATGATTTCCTATGGTTTTTATGATGTATCCCCAAGAATCCATGTAAATCCCCTATTTCTCAATTGTGATCTTATGATGTGGGTTTTTGTTGATAAAAGGTGGATTTTATGAATTAATGCATGAAGTGATAGAATCACATGAAATTTTGATGAAATCCCTATCTAATGTTTGAATTCTAGATGTGGTGATTGAAAGTAGGTTTTGAACCTTGAAAGAGCAAAGTATGATATCATGTTTGTTTTTATGAAATCTATGTAAATGTTTTGAGGACACTTAGAGAGTGAAGTGTCAATGATTATGATATTGTTGTTGTGTTGATTGAAAGGCCATTCTCATGAACACATAATGAACATGATGTGAAAGGTTCTCTAACATAATGAAGATTCTAAGGTTGAAAGGTTTTCTCACCTAATTAAATCTAATGCTTACATGTAGACATGAACGGTGAAAGGTTTTTCTCACACATGATCTAAGAGCTATCCTAATGAATTAACTTGGATTGGTTTTTAAGGACATCCTTCTATGAGATATGAGTTAAGTTAGGACTTAATAAATACTCCATGGGATTTATGCTTAGCACCGAGTGGATATTGAATATGAGATGGAAGCTCTCCCGATAGAAAGACCGGGTTTCTAGAAGAAATCTCTTGAGATGGAAGCTCCTCCAATATAAAGGTCGGGTTTCTAGTAACAATCTTCTTATCCCATAAACTACGTGCCCCCGTAGGACATTTAGCTAGTGGATCCACCTAAGCTAACAAACCATGGTTCTACCTTAGGCAAGTAGGACAATCATTTTCGGTGTGGGTAACACCGGGTGATCATGTTATAGCTCACATGGTCTCATGTCGGTTAAGGCTAATTCCCACGATGACAAGACTAATGAACTAAGGTATGCTTAAGGAAGTATCTGGTAAGTGTTCAAAAGTTATAAAGATGATGCTAGCTTATGTTGACTATGATGTTATGACTTATGATTTCCAACTATCTCTCATATGATGTTTTAGCTTCTTAATTGCATGTTATGAAATGAAATGTCCATTTTAGCATGTTTTAAATGTTTTTATGCATAGTTATCATACTTGGTGAATTTTTGTACTAATGCATACTCTTGCCTACATTTTTTCCAAATGTAGGATCCGACAGTAAGGGTCAGTTTCGTGGCTAGGTGTTGATCTTGAGATTCCTAACTTTCGCGAGTCCTCATGCTTCGAGGGCGGAGTTATTGTTTTAGTTTCCTTTCTTTAATGTATTTCTACTTTTGGACATGATGTATGGGCTAGGCCCAATTTCATTCGATATTGTAATAGATGGATATGATGAGACAAATTGTCTAGACTTTCGCTTTTTTTTATGAAAAACTTTTTAGACTTGAAATATTATTTTACTCTAAATTATTCTATCTCTTATGTTATGAGGACTCAGTGGCTTGTATAGAGTCCTTCGGGGTTCTATACACCTTGTTACATCTAGGGGGTACCTTTGGGTTGTGACAATTAATGCGTTTTAATATAAAATATCATTTATACCCCACTAGCTCGACACCTTCAGGTGTTCGGACTATTGATCTGAAAACTTCACATTTTTAAGTGAAGTCAATTTTGTTTGAATTGTTTCCTTCCATTCTGATCAATCATTTTTCTCTATCTATATTCATTAATATATTTTGGTTCCAAATTCTCATCTTGTTACATTATTTCAACAACAACATTATAGACAAAAATAGGGCTAGACATATTACGGTTCAAACCGAAAAAACTAATT